GAAGGTTGACTGCCGAAACGGGGCGCCTTATATAATAGGAGCGATCGGACGCTCCGGAAAAAGAAGGTTGACTGCCGAAATGGGGCGCCCTATATAATAGGAGCGACCGGAAGCTCCGGAAGAAGAAGGTTGACTGCCGAAACGGGGCGCCTTGTATAGTGGAGGCGGCCGGAAGCGCCGTCGACTGCCGAAAAAAAGGTAGCCCTGTGCGATAGAAGCGACCGGAATCTCCAGAAGAAGAATGTTGACCGCCGAAACGGAGCGCCCTATATCATATGAGCGACCGGGCGCTTCGGAAGAAGAAAGCTGAGTGCCGAAACGGGGCACCCCTAGAAGCGACTGGAGGATCCGAAGGAGGAGGGTCGCGGTATGATTTGAGGAAAGTCCCGCGAGTGCGGGACAAGGAGCTCTTTGCGACAGTTTGTAGACGCGAGGCCCTGCGTTGAGCTTCTTAACCTCTCCCATCGGCCGACGGCTCATGGACGCACTACGCCGCCGCTGCGTCGTGGAGCCCGCTCCTGGCAACGAGCGCGCGCAGTGAGTCGACGAGACTGGGAGCCGATCTGGGCTGCTTCCTGGAGGGCGGGCCTGCGCCGCGGGTCTCAGCGTTCGCCGCGCGACAAAGATTGGGGTTGTTTGGCTGTCCAGGGGGTGCTATTGAGAGCAACTTGGAGGGTTTTCAGTTTAACATTTTTCTGTTCTTCTTCGCCGTTATTTGTTAAATGATATGTCGAGCGAAGTATTTAGTTTTCCTTCATTGTTGGGTTGAACTAAATGATGCCCCGTATTCCACGAGGGAAAGATCGCTGTCGCGTGTGGTACGCAGCGATTTGATATTCTATTTTTTTTTAAAAAAGATGGCGAGACTAAACTTGCCGCTGTTGGCAGTATCACCTAAGGAAGTTTCATATGTGTATATGTGTGCATATGCGTGCGTATGGGGTCTGCCATTTGCGCCTGGTAAGGAATGGAGGCGAGCCAACGACGCGCTCGTGGTCGAGGCGTCCGCTCTACTGCCTACGCGACGCGGGAGCGAGCGCTTCCAGGACAGAGTTATTGATATTCTTGTGTTTGAGATTCCAATGGGTCCCTAACAATGACCGAGCTGCCGCGCCTAATGTTCTCTCGCTTGACGACAGGAGCCCTTTTTGCGATGCGTGGGGCCACATGCGTTCTCGATCGAGGTGTCCACTGCCTGCGCGATGTGGGAGCGAGCGCTTCCAGGACAGACTTATCGAGATTCTCGCGTTTGAGATTCAACTGCGTTTCTGATAACATCCGAGTTGTCGCGCCTAATCTTCTCTCGCTCGACGACAGGAACCCTTTTTGCGACACGCGGGGCCAAATCCGTCAGAGACGGGCACGAGCATGATGTTAGAGTTTCTCTGACAGAGAAATAGAATAATGCCCAAAGATGGAAAAAAGGCAAAGGGCTTGAAGTTAGAAAAGGGCTGCGATAATCTGACGCAGTCAGCTTTGCTTCAGTGTGCTTTGGCGCCGGCCACTGCCTCTCAGTGTAGATTGCGGTTTGCGGCCTCCCTCCCCCCCTATTCCCAGCTCGTTTGGCCCAATGGCGGTGGCCCTTGTTGAAGATGAGGGGATTTTCGCGTGCTGCGCCCCGGCCTCGGGCATCGTTTGTGTAGATATATGCTCGAAATCGTTTCACCCAGGCTTGCAGGAAACTTGGCGTTCCTCTGGGAGTGGACCCCGAGTACACGGGGGACTCGGAACAGAACTCGCTCCTTTGCCCCGCGCTAAGAAATTGGAAGCCGATCGCGCGGCTTTCTTTTCACGCGACCGACCGTGTCAGGCGAATCCTGTTTGCGCGAGCGGGGTTTCACAGTGTGCTACGCGGGGGAGGCGGGCATAGGAAGGATCGACTCGCGTAGGCCGAGAGTCTTGAACTCTGCAGGTCGACTTGCTGGAAGAGTCGCCGAGATACGCGGCGGAGATGGAGGACGCAGCCGCGACCTCAGCTCTGATTTGGCAATCCTCGTTCTCGAAATGCTCGAGGCTTCCATTGAAGATGGAGACGAGAACAGGTCCGTCTTGTCGCTTGTGGTAGAAGTGGGCCGCGCCGCCCTCAGATAATGGAGCGCGTCGGCCGCAGTTCGGGTCGCGCGGTCCTAAGGATGGGCCGAGATAGACGGGGTTTGATGCCGGAGCGACTCGACGACGACACAAAGAAGCGAGAAAAAAAAAGTGCCTCGGAGGAGCAAGTTGACGCAACGCCGAGTTTAGGTGACTTAGATTAGAGCTGAGTTGTGATAGATGCTGGGTTTGAGAAGGGGCAAGAAATCTAGAACGGCAAGTCTATTGACGCTGGAAGGGCCTTGTTTGTCTGCGTGAGTTTGCGATCGTCTTGCGTTGTAGCCGCTTCGATATCTCAAGCATTTACGAGTTGGCTCCCGAAGCGGGCGAGAGCGAGGGGAATCCCAGTGATTACGCGCAGGCGCGCGGGCGTGGCGCGGCGGAAGTTGGAAATTGTTACAGAGACGCCGATCGGCCCCGCCAGATCAAGTTGGCCAGATGGGAACGCCTGCCTTGTCGTGGCCTCAGACCGGCCGCGTGGGACAAGAGAATGAAGCTTGTCACGAAGCTTATCGCGATAACGCTGCCTGTTCTTTTTGGCTCGAGGAACAGCCGATCTCGACCAGGTCTGCTCTGTTATTCCCGTAGCGCGATGCCAGGCAAGCGCCGCTTTCAAGCAAAGGATTTGGTCCAAGCAGGCGGGAGCAAGAAGGCCCGAGAAGAGCCGCTGGGGAAGGCGCTTCCCGACGCGCTGGTGGCCATAGCGCGACCTTGGGGAAGCTCTTTCTGGGTCTTCGAGGGAGAAGAGGTGGAGACCCCGCTGTGGCAGGTCCAGATCAACGGAGCGCATAGAGATGCGTTCAGCGCCCAGGCGCCCCTGACTGCGCGAGAGGCCTTGTCACAACACCCGAACGAGAACGTGAGGGATATGGAGTCACTGGAGCGAGTCCTGCGGGTGAGACTGTCTCTGGGCGGCCCGCCTCCATCTGGCAAATTCGATGTGGACGAGGTCGGCATGCGAGAGTGGCAAACGGTCCTCTATTGCGCGGGCCAAAGCCCGGAAAGCGCTTTGAGCTTTGTTCGCTTCATCTTGGAGCACAAGCAAAGAAAGGGGCGCCTGACCTTCCTACCTCGACTGGTGGCGTTGGCTGAGCCCGAGGCCGAGCTTGGCGAGTTGCCGAATCCCTGGGAGACGTGGGAGGCGCCTCCAAAGCTGCCGTTGCCTCCGCCCTTCGGGGTTGTGCCGCCGAAGGGCAGGCGGCACGTGTTGTGCCAGATGGAGCGCAAGGAAGTGGGGGAAGACGCGGAAAAGGCCGTCTATAACTTCGTCTTCTTCGGCGGAATCTTCGTGTTCCGCGAAAGGTTCGACGAGGCTGGGGTCCCAGGCGCCCTCGCCCCGGCCGTGAAGGAAGGGGACAAGCAGGAGTATGTGAGGATCCTAGAGGTCGAGGACTCGGCAGAGGGGCGAGAGAAGGTGACGCGCGTGTTGGAGGAAGTGCTGCGCAGTCTTCCGATATACTGCGTCGACGCAGTGGCAGACCCGACGGACGCCATGACCGAGTGGATCTCGCAGCGCAAGTCCGTGTTCGTGGGAGAGCGCGAGGAAGAGAAGTGAGACTTTCAAGTGTTAGGCTTAGGGTTAGAGTCGATTTGGGCCTTGCGCAGACTGCCCGCCGGGACGCGAGCATTGAATCGCGTGAGACAGGCTGGCGTGGGCGGCAAGGGGCCTAACGGGCGCAGACTCGGGGTTGTTCGCAATTTACCTCGCGAGCAGAAAATGGTGGGAAAAAAAGGGCTCGGGCTCGAAAGCGCTTAGTTTAACGTGTTACAGAGAGCGCGCGAGCGCTTGTGTTCTCGCCCAAGGCCAATCGCGCCTGCGATGGACGGAACAGGCGGGCGGAGGGCTCGTGTTCAAACGTCGCGGATCGCTTCCCCCCCCCTCCCCCAGTCCTTGTCAAGGAACGCAGCGCCCGCAGCAAGAAGACGGGCCTGGTCCTGAGGGCGGGGCGCCGCCAGGCCATGGAAGGGAACGCACGCGCGCGCGTGCGTCTAAACGACGCCTTTTATCGGGGCTTGCGTGTTGGAGTCTCGGGTGACTGCCAGGCGGAGCGCGGGCCGCGACTGCGACGCGGGAGCCTGCGATCGGCGATCGGATCCTTGTCCTGCGCCAGCCTTGGTTGGACGACGTCTTGGGCGGCAAAAAGACAATGGAACTACGCAGCTGTCGAGTCCGGCATGGTTTCGCCTGGCTCGGGGCGACCGGCCAAGTCTGGGGCGGCGTCACTATTTCGGCTGCCCGCAAACTGTCTCAAGAAGAATTCGAGGCGACGAGGGAGCAGCACCGCTGGCCGGCCCAGAACCCGGCGCCCTACGGAGACCGATTATGTGGTATGACCCTGACTGGGGTTTTCCGGCTGCCGCAGCCCGTGCCCTACTGGCGACCTTCGACGGCGATCGGGTTCAATGTCTTCCGGCGAGGTCCCGAAGACGCGCGGGCCAAGCCGGCGGCGACCAAGCGCTCCGCGCCCGCCAAGCCGACGCGCAAGACGAAGAAGCCTGCCGTGAGTGAGACCCCAGCTCAGGCCCCGCCTCTCCCGGAGCGATCGATAGGGCCAGAAGACGAAGAGGAAACGCTGCCGATGGAATCTATGGGAGGGGAGACGATGCGCCGCAGCCGCGCGGTAGAAGACCTGAGCGAGATCGTCTCCACGTAGATTCGCCTGCGCGCGGCCACAGCGTCGGGCTGAGCCCCGTCGCGCGTCGTAGACGCAGGCCAGTTTTAAGATATGAGCCTGGACAAGGCGCGAGGGGAAAAAAAAGGGCGCGCCTAGGGAGAGAGCAGCTCGCTAGTCAAAGGCGGGCGTGTCAGTTTCATGTCGCAAAAAAGAAAGCGACGCCTATGCTCGGTTTGCGACCCACGCGTGTAGCCTCGATGACCTGGGGCCGGGGCCGACGCCGCAGAGCTAGCCATGGCTGCCGCGCGCCGTCGGTGGGCGGATATGATCGACACAGAAGACGAGACCGAAGGTGCAGAGGACGACAGTCAGTTGCGAAAAGACGTCGCGGCCTTCGTGGACGAGTTCATGGGCCCGAGCGCCGGCTCGCGGCTCTTGACCTTGGCCCTACTGCAGGCAGACCTGCAGCGCCGCTGCGTGGGATGGACGTTCCCATGCCGGGGGTGGCGCTGGTGCGTCTACGAGGCGCCGCTGACCTTGCTGGCGGAGATTTCTGTCTTTGTGAGCTTGGTGGGGCAAACTCTTCCGAGCGAGCGCGCGTGCAATCGGCGTTTTCGCAAGATGCTTTCCCGCTGGCAAAGCCGGCTGCGTCTAGCTGCCTTGGACTGTCAACACGTCTGGCCTTTGTGGCTAGACGTGATTTTTGGGTCTGATCAGTCAAGGATCAGACCCTGCGTCGTCGTCCGACTCGACCTTTCTATATAAGCGGCTCGAGTGGAGAAAAGAATGATCGAGCGAGGTATGCGACTTCGAGATTATCTAAATTGGAAACCGTTTCGCGTCCTGAGCCCGCCTATTCCGCCTTGCGCTGAGTTGTTCGAATCTTAAGTGAGTGACGAGATCAAGCACGAGTTTCCCGATTAGTCATGTCGTCCCAATTCGCTGCCGGGGCCTCTTCGTCTACTTCGCCCCCCCCGGATGCCATGGGCAGCGGCGCGGCGGCTGAGGCGACGGATAGAGCGAGCGGTCTAAAAAAAAGGGGGAAACGAGGCGCGGCGCGTTCCAACCTTGCAGCCCCGCAGGACAGTCCGGCGCTGGGGCTCGCGACAGTGGACTTAGATGGAGACTGCCTTTTTCATGCCTTGGCCGTGGGCGCTGGCGGCTCTGGCCCAACGCTTTGACAAGAAGTGGCGGACTTTCTGGAGGCGAAGGTCGTGGACGAGCCCTCCAACTTCCAAGATGAGTGGCTGACGGAGGCCGAGCGACTGCGTCGGCGCCTGTGGGGCGGCGCAGCCTCTTGCGTGGCCTTTTCCTTGATGCGTGGAATGCGAGTGATCTCTCACTCGAAAATTCCCAACAGCTCCGCGGTGGAGGTTGTGGATCTCAGTCATCGACTGGTGGACCCGGGCGCCCCGAAAGTCCATATCCTCTACAACGGCTCCACTCACTACGACGCCCTTGTTCGATTGGAATCGACGCTGGGGTGGGAGCCGGCGTGGCCGCAGACCGGGCGCCCGAGGTACTTCAAAGAGACGACCGCGGCGCGGCCTGTCGCTGCAAACGGCCCGTCGCCTCGAGAGATCCAAGAGCAGAACCTCATAGGGGACTCGCTGTTCGGCGTCGAGACTGGCGACTCCTTGCGGGAGCGCGTGATTGATGTGGCAGGACGGGGGCTGTCTCAATTTAGACCAGTTTGCGTTGTAGTATTCACATGTGAGCGAGGGAAGCGTGCTTGACTAAACCCGAAGGAGCTCAAGAAGAAGACGGGGAAGCAGATTCTAGCGAAGCGGGAGAGCTGACAGAGGAAGACGGCGAAGAGGCAGACGAGACAGAAGAGGCAGAGGAAGCTGGCGCCCTCAGACGGCGGAGGTATCGCCAGAAAACGACCCCGCCGCCGGAGTTGCGCGAGGACGTGATGGAAGAAGTGGTCAAAGCCAAAGTGGCCCCGGCGGAGCAAACTGCTCACCCGCTGCGGCATTTGGAGGAGATCGTCAAGCTGATCGCGGAGACCAAGATCAGAGCAGACCCGACCCTCCCCCCCGGCCGCGCCTCGGCCGTCGAACTAGATGCCGGGGCGGTCTGGCCCCGCGCTTTCTGCGCGTTCGTGGATTGCGACTGGGCGGTCGCCGAAGGCACCGAGGCGGACCTCCAACTTCACCTCGCGGAAGCCCACAGCTGCGACCTAATGGCGGGCGCGCGGCTGCTCCTGCGACCTGGGGATCCGAGCCAGCTGATGTCGATTTACAACGAGGCCCTCGCCCGGCGCTGCCGGCAAGGCGCGCCCCTGGCAGGCTGTTCTTTAGACAGGACGGCCTTGCGGTCCTTTGCCGCGGCCGTGGAAGGGGACAAGGTCGAGGCGCTGATCTGCGTGTCCTGCGCCTGCATCTACAGCCGCGTGGCCGAGCTTGAGGAGCAGAATGAAATTCAATGGCGCCGGATTCTAAGCCGCTGCGGCGGGGAGGAGGAGGGCGAGTGGCGGCTCTTCGGCCAGCCAGCGCCTCGCGTGGTCGAGATCCTCGGCCTGAACGCCTTTCTCGACAAGTACGACAAGCTACACTCAGAAAGAGCTGCGAGGATGTCGACCAATGAAAGCTTTGAGAACTGGAAGTTGAAGTTGCCCGGCCCCGGCGGCGCAGAAATCCTATGCTGCCCGGAAGACCGCCGCTGCGGCGCGGATCCGACCCACGTCGGCGCCGCGGGCGTCCTGTGCGAGGAGTGCGAGACGCCGGTGTGTCGGGCCTGCTTCGAGAGCCTCAAGAAGAAGAAGATGCCGCCTGTGAGCCTTGCCAATGATATGTGGGTCGGCTACTCCCCTGAGAGAATCTTCGAAGAAAAGATGACCGTGCTGGAGCTGATCTGCGCCTCTCCGTGTGTGACCACCATGGTCTGCATGTCCATGGAGGCTCGTCACAGGCACGCCTCGGCGCCCTTCGACGAGACGGCCCACATGGCCAGACACCGCTACTTAAAGGGGCGTGGGGGTTAGTATCTATTTAGCCTACTCACTATGTACATAGCCAACATGCAAAAGAACTTACAGCACATGGCAAATTACATAGCAAAGTTACACAAATTGATTTATCGCACTTAGGCAAATGTACTTACAAGACTTACGACGTAAGGAAGGAACGCAGCCATAACCATGCACGGGGCAATGGCTGCAGCTGCCAAAAGCAAAATTAAATTTGAAAGAAGACAAAAACAAGTCCTTCGCGATGCCAAAATGGCATGATCGAATGATGCGCACACACCACGCAGCGCTTCAAGTCTTCACGCAAGGGCCTCAAGTCTGCATGCAGTGCCTCGTGTCTTCATGCAAGGGCGGCAAGTCTGCACGCAACACCTTATATACAAGTTATAAAGGGCCTCAAGTCTGCATGCAGGGCCTGGGGCTCGCAAACATGTTTAGCACGCGCACGCAACTTTACAATGAAGAGCGAAGGCTGGGGAACAAAGAGGATCAAACTGCCCCAATGAAACATCACTTAGTATTTACTTTATCAACTTTGACTAAAAAGACTCGCCCCTTGCTTGCGCATGCGTGCGCAGGCTCGAGCAGGCAAGCTCGCAGGGCCGCTGGCTCGCAACAGTTTTGCACGGTTGCAGCGTACCTTGCAATCATGCAGAACACGCACGAATTCAACAAGCACAAAAAAAAGCTCCCCATGCACAGATTCTGAAACAAGCATGCATGCAGGGCCATGGGCTCGCAAGCCAATTTGCACTGCTGCGTGAACACGCCTTGCAATCACTGCGCAAACCAAATCTAAGCTGCAGGACCAAAGGCTCACTTTTGCACGGATATACAAACAGATCATGCCTTGCATGCATGCCAGTGATCTTGAAGTCTATGGCAGGCGGAGCATACACATGCATTTTTAGGGTTGGAATCTGAATCCACAGCTTGGAACACCTTCCCCTCCACCAACTAGAAGTGGAAACTGGAAGCAAACCCAATGCAACTTGGTGGTCCACAAGCAGTGGGCTTTTCCAACTCACGGCCATGCTCCCATGCACAGATTTAAGTGGGCGGCAAAAGTACAATTGCAGCACCATCGCGTTGAGACCAAGGGCATGTGCCCAAGATCCATTCAGTAGGAATCAGGACTGGGTTGTCCTTGACTCTGTACATGAAGCCGTCCACAGTATCCCAAAAGTGCACACATGACCATGTGACCTGCCCCACGGCAGCATGGAATTCTATACGGCCGACGCGCTTCTCCACCTGGGCAGCATGATATAGCTGGATCGAAGCTATATCGCCTCTGGCCACAGTATACCCTCCTGCGTGGATTGCGTCCGCTGCTGATTCAACCACGGCGTCCTCGAGAGCGCCCAAGCTTTGCCTGACCACGTTGGCAAGCCGCTTTGGGGCCGCCCTGGCATTGACCAGAGACACAGCGGAACCAGGCATTTCTGCAGGAGACTTCATAACATCGAACTGCCGGTAAACGATGTCCTGCAAGACTGATGACTCGAAGGCCTTGCTAGTGTCCAAAACATGATTTGCAACCCGCTTGACGCATTTGTGTTTGCGCTCGTGCACGAAGCAGCTTACCAAGCATCCGTGCTTCTTCAGCTGCAAGGGCAAGTGGAGGGATAAGTGAAATTTTGTTGTCCAGTGATCAACGCCATGGATGCGTTTGAAGGTCTCCAGATGCTGCTGGACAGTCTGCAAGAGCATGTTGGCATCATGCCTTCGATGTGGCAAGGTCGTATATGTGTCAAGGATCTCGCAAAGCAGAAAAAAACACTCTACCACGTCCTTGACCTCCTGGGCTGGCTCCGTCGAGCAGACAAAAAGAAGAACAAAGGCTCTCAGCAGTTGTACAAAGTTCAGCAGCTCACTGGCGCTACACTTGATGGGCTCGCTGGCGCCCCGTTTGTCGAGCACAGTCTTGGGCGCTGCTCCTCGAAGCCGAGCTGGCCAGTTGAAACCTTGCGCAAATTCGCGCATGTGCTTGATGCTGAAGCCATGTCGTGCCAAAACGCCGACCACCAGGCCACATTGCACGTTGGCCACGCCATGTACCAAGTACACATGCATCCAATCGAACATTGTTCTCTCCACAAACTTTGGGCCCCATTCTGGCTGTGCCAGCAGGCCGTGAGGACGGAAGTTGAAGCCGAGAGACTGCTCCAACTTGGCAAACTGCCCGAGGTTCAGAACTGAGCGCTGCTCCTGCAAAAAAGCAATGAGTTGCTTCACACTGTTCTCTGTGTGAAGGCGCCATGACCTCACATCAGTGCTCAAAGAGCTCACCAACTCGCCGGACCGGTCATGCCACTGAAGCTGGCTCTTGAAGTCGATGACGTTGGAGCAGTGGCAACAAAGAACTGTCCCTGAGGCGCCTTTGTTTTCCAGGGCCTGCTTGATGGCCGCTTCGTCTGCAACAAGGACACCGATGTCGGCAAAGACCAAGGTGCCATATGTTCTCAAATACAGGCCTGTTCGGAAATCATGGCCGGTAAAAAACAATTCCATAGCCTGCCGCCACAGCTTTGACATGCCGCCAAGTTTCTGCACCAGGCATGACCGTACGGCCATTAATGGGAACCAACAAGATTCAGTGCTAAGAGCATGTGGACCAAGTTCCCAAAATGACCAATACAGAACTTGAAGTTTACGAGCGTTGCAGTGTTTGAGCTGGTTCCCCGGGCTCACTTCATCAGCATAGACCACTATCTTCCACGGCGCCGTATGGCTGCATGGGCTGGCTTGGAGCCGTGCCTGAAAGAAGGACCTCCACCCAGCGCACTGATACGTCGCAGACGCCAACCAAGCTGCTGGAGGGAGGATGGGCACCTTGACAACTTCTCCGGGCTTGTCCTCCTCAGGCACATCCATGAACTGCATCAAAGGTCCGAACTCGGTGCTGCATTCCGCCAGCTGCTCATCCCTACGCCTTTTGATGGTCCTGCGAGATACACTGTCAGGGAGCTCGCCCAACTGCTTCACATCTGCAAGCACTGCCTCCAGGCCCCGTATAGACACATATGACCTTCGACCTATAGAGGAGAGGCGTGCTGCAGAACTGGCGCTGCTGGCGTGCACAGGCTGCACTGCCAGCGAAGAATCCGCCATGGTCGGCACGCAAGCCAAGCGAGGCTGCTGGCGTGCACAGGTTGCACTGCCAGCGAAGAATCCGCCATGGTCGGTACGCAAGCCAAGCGAGGCGATGGACTACAACGTGTTGTGTGATGCGGGAACTTTTCTCAAAACTGAGAATCAAAAGCTGGTTGGGGAAAACTGGCAAATAGACAAGCTTTCCTAAATAGCTCGGTCACCTCTATATATATCGCCCTGAGCGCAACGACTGCGCCGCATGCGATCACCAAGCAACGCATGGCATGGCTCACAAACTGGGCTCATCACCGCCAACTATATTGGAAACATGGAATGCAGGCCATGGCCAATCACGTGAGTGTGGAGCGGTCATTGAACTCATTTTAAGCCGCCAACCTCACACGGATGTTCTCGCTCAAGCATATACACCTGCAGCGGGCACAATCAAAAAAAGAGCCCAACATGTTGCAGAAGCACCAAGCGCTCAATGTATTCAAGCTGACAAAGCAAGTCGATCATACGCTCTTTTCAATCCACCGATTTGTGCGTGCAAAAGGACATGCATGGGCTCCCCAAGTGGGCATGTCCAAGACATGACATGGCCACATCACTGCATGCAAGCCCTTCATGCACACGCAAAACTAGCTGGCAAACATTGACAAAATGCCTTCAAGGGAAATAGCAAGAAGGAGCACACCCCGGCTGCCATCGGCACTTGGCGCATCCGTGGGGACTTTTGCGCATACGCTTGTCCTTTGGCCAGCTTGCCACTTGGGCACGCTTCGCCACCTTCCACTCCCACCCCTTGTCGGTTGACTCGGCTTTTGTCTTTGGCTTGCAAACCGCCATCTTAGCCTTTGGCTTGGCGCCTGGCTTGGCCTTTGGCTTGGCGCATGGCTTTGCCGCAGCCTGTGATTTAGCGCTCGGCTTCTTCATGGCGGCCTTGCCCTTGGCACTGGCCTTTGGCTTGTCTGCAGGCACACTCCCATCCGCAGCCTCCTGCGAGTCAGACTTGCTCTTCCAGCTATCTAACATGATCCTTGCCTGCGACGCAGGGTCCAAGGGCTCTTTGTCACGGGAGCTGCTGGCCGGCGGCGAGGGAGCAGGCGACGTGTTTGGCATAGTGGGCGTTGTTGGCCTGATGAAAGGGCCGGGCTCGGCCCATCTTCCAGACCAGGGCTCCCAGGGTGACCAGCTGCTGGGGCAGGGGCTTCCTGTGGCTGGCGGTCACCAAGCGCAAGGGGAATGGTTGCCCTTGTCTGCGGCAAGTATTGAATAGGAGCCCTGGTGGAGGGAGCGTTGAGCATGCCTGCAGCTGCAGCTGCAAACATCTGCATCATCCCCTGCAGGGTTTGTGGCTGCGAAGTCGCAGTTGATGCAGGCAACACCTGCCGGGAAGTCTTCTGACAGGACCAGCCGGTGGCAATCCTACGGCAGGGCTTTGAGCAGCCCCAACTGGCTTCTCTTCCTTCCAGACAATGGACTTGATTTCTTTCGGAAGGTCATCAGGGTTGTCAGGCCATGTCTCCAAGTGCCAGGCGTGGCGCACGGTTTTTGAGGCTGATTTCACACTGCGCTTCAACTCCTGCACTGCGCTGAGGAAATGGTTGCCATCAGCAAGCTCGGCAGCACCCAACTCCCTGATAGTTGCAACCACGTGCCCTGATGTGGGCTCTGAGGGCATCACCAGGCCCATCGCACCATGACGTCAGCTGCGTAGTGCACCTTCTCAGCTGCAGGACGATCGCTGCTGAGGAAGTTCAGCTGAGTTTGTGTCAAATAAGCTGCAAATGCGCTCATGCGCTGCAGAGGCCGTCTGGCACCGGCGATCTTTTGGGGATCTTTCTGTTGGGCAGCAAGGGCAACCGCAGCTGCCAGCTGCTCTTTCTCTGCCTCAGACCATGGGCCTTGGGCAATGA